TACCAATAGTTTAATATTACCATACTAAAAGACTAGCTAATTAATAGTATTAGCATTTTAAGAGAACTTCTTATACTCTTGGAATGTATTTTAAGAATCCTAAATCTATTATAAGGAACTCATTTTGATACAAAGTATGTCCTACATTCAAAGTACTATCTATTTATTGAAATAGAATTCCTTAAAAATGCATTTGGCATGTCATAAGCTATGTTTGTGATTATTCTCAGTCAATGCATAATATGCTGCCTTTTTAAAAGTGCTCCATGACTTTCTACCAATGCACACAAATTTTTTCCCTAAACTGATGAGGTTTTACTATGCTTAAAAATTCATTAGTTAAACATTAACCTTATGGCTGGTGACATTATTTAGTTCCAATCTCAAAATATATAATAATTTTGCAACTTTGAAATCATGTGAAATGTATGAGTGCCAAGTTATAAAAGAATGATAAATTAAAATTTATTTTCACATTATCTTGGTTTCACTGTTCTATTAAAGCAGAGATGGCTAGGATTGCATATTGAAGATTATAAAGGGTTATTAAAATGAAAATATTTTCTAAAAAGAGAATTGCATTGAAAAGAAAGCATTGTCATATTTGGTGAGAAAATCATATGACAATTAATTCTGTTTGCTTGTCAAGCTACAATAGTGTATTCTGACTGATCCTGTCAATTTCTACTTCATATGCACACATATATAAATCATTAATAGAGGAGTTACAATGAAATATCTTATATTTTAAAAAGGTGACTTTTAATAGCTGTAGTATGTTAATGTATTATCAAATTTATATTGATATTATAAGCCGTATAATAATAGTAATCAGGAGTTACATACTTATTAGCAAAAAGCATAGCAGTCTATGAAGGAAAATCTATTATATGGATGAGAGTTGAGAATATAAATTGAATAGAAAAACACATTCTTTGTTTCCTAACATGATACCTCAACATATATTTTAAATTACTATCAACAAATTGAGTTCCATTTGAATCTTTTTTCCTGTATTTTGGGGAAGCTAAAACATTAAAATTTCAATGCCCAAGTAATTAATGAAAATAAAGATTTCTGGCAATTCTATACTATCAGAGAAGTAGATCTAGCCTTTAAAAAAAGATATTTTTATCTTGCTTTGTTTGGGATTATTTTTCTTTGCAATTATGTAGGTTTTATAATAAAGGATATTTATGATGGTTCTAGTGAATGCTGTCAAATGTATGTGGCAAAAGACAAATTAACATTTATTAGAAGTAAAATAATAATTCTTAAGTATAAGTCTATCCTGAGAGGTAGTTGTTTATAGCATTGTGATTAAGGTTAACATTTGTAGTCTGAATCCTAACCATGTCACTTCTGATCTAAGTGACCATGAGCAAGTCATGAACCTTTCTGTGCCTCAATTTCTACATCTTTAATATAGAGATTATAATAATGCCTATCCCTTAGCATTACGTTAAAAATTAAATGAGTTCATTTAACATAAAATACTTAGAACAATGCCTGGGTTAGCTGTTGTTATCATTAATCTTGTTGTTTAACCATCATAACTTTAATTCATGTCTCTAAGAATGAACTCACTGAATTAAAATTTTCATGATTTTTTAAAATTAAATTTTGTTTAATGTAATGCTGGTAGGACTCTGTGAATGATATAGGAGAAATATTTGTGACTAGATATGGATGGAAAAGTAAAAATAGCCTGGCCAAAAGAAAAGGCTGGTCCAGGTGTAAGAATGATAGCCTGGGCAAAATTTGTATTTATTTTGCTATTTTATCAAACCAGCGGTACAAAGCATATTCAGCAATATGAAGAATGATAGAAATGATATAAGAATACAAAGAATAATAGATCAAGGATACCTGATGGCTTCTGTAGATCTGATTTTTTTTCCTTGTGAAGGCATGAGTCACTTGACCTCATACATCTTTTGTTGAGTAAAGAGTGCCCAGTCAAGAGTTCAGACACATGGGACAGCTGTTTTTTAGAATATTTTAGGGAGCTTGGAGGTTGGCATTTGTATAAAAAGTAAAATATAAAAAGTTGGCATTTGTATAAAATAATAACTTGCTGCCTCATATTTCTTCTTTTTACATATTATTTCTTGCTAAGCTATAAATTCTTCTTTAGCTTTCTATGTGACAGGCCTGGGTAAGGGAAAAGAGAAACTTAAAAATGGTTAGGTAGCCAGGCATGGTGGTGTGCCTTGACTCTCAGCCATTTGGGAGGCTGAGGCAGAAGGATAGCTTGAACCCAGGGGTTTGAGACCAACCTGAGCAATATAGTGAGACTCCCATCTCAAAAAAAAAAAAAAAAAAAAAAGGATAGGGGATTTTGTGAAAAATAACGGTGTCAATAAACAAAATAGTCTAGTCCATTGAAAGCTGATTTGAATTAGGCAAAAATTGGGCATTCTCCCACCATTTCTTACAGAATATAATTAATTTATAGCTTAAAGAAACCATAGGGCCTAATAATTCTGTTCACCTCATTCTATAAATGAGGAACATGAGCTGCCTTCTTGCAGAGAGATTGACTTACCCAACCTCTACATAGATTCAGAACCAGGATCAAGACTCAAATCTACTGATTTTTGGAATCAATGGCATTTAGAGTTAAATGTGTTTTTTTATAGTGCAACATTGAATTAGTGTATTCTAACTAATTAAAAAATAACATATAGTTATTTTTAATTAGTTAGAATACACTATTACTTTATTGTGCTCATTAACAGTGTTTATTCTGTTTTAGACACTGATATTGAATGGTAGGACTTTATGTGATCCAGAGGAGATGGACACATTAATTTCACAGTGTGTCAACAGATTTCAGAAGGCATGTAAACCTCCTTCCTGGGATTTTTTACAGAAAAAAAATTATGTGGTCCTAATATTTCTCCTTTTCATACTTAATTTTAGTGTGAATTACATCCAAGTGATTTTTCTTCCTTCTTTCACTCTTTTAAAGCACATATTGGTTTGCCAATATAGAATAATGGCATTCTGAAGTTTTATTGTTGAAGCGACAAAGAGAAATGCAAAATAAGGATTCTGACCATTTTATGAATATAAATAAAGAAAGAGTGTAAGATAGGCATTATATTAAAATATAGCAAAGGGCAACTGAGATTTCAAAATTAATTTTGTGGGATTTCCTTTGATTACATACAGGCCTTGAACCTTCAATTTTCTTGCCTCAGCTTCTCATCAGGTTTTTTCTTATTCTATCACAAAGTATCTGTGATACTGGCTTTTTGGGTGGGTATGTTTTATTGTAATATTTTCTGGCAGTGTTTAGAATACATTCATATTTTCTTACAGTTGCTATTCTTGGGAATTTATAACTCAATGGTTATAATTTGCCAAGGATTGAAATTTAATCCACATATGTTTGACTTAGATATAATTCATCAAGCTTAACTCTTTAATCATTTTAAAAGGCAATGATTCATATTAGATTAGCAGTTAATATTTGTTTAAAATATTATGTGCTTTTTTAATCTTATAAAAAATGATCAGAAACAAAGCAATATTGTGGAATGACAATTTAATAGTTATTATACTTTGAACAATTATGACTTTAATTTTTGATCGATTTTTTTTAAAGAGAGAGAGAGAATTTTAATATTTTATTTTTTTTTTTAGTTTTCGTCAGACACAACATCTTTGTTTGTATGTGGTGCTGAGGATCGAACCCGGGCCGCATGCATGCCAGGCAAGCACGCTACCGCTTGAGCCACATCCCCAGCCCTTGATTGATTATTGATTAGGATGAGGTTTTTTTTATATCAAATTATGATTACCTTCCTGATGACAAGTCAATAGTTCCAAGTACAGGAACCAAACAGAATATAAAGCTGTATCTTAACCTATAGCCTTACATGCTTTCACATTTTCCCCCTAAATATTTAAAAAAGTAGTTTCACTGTTGTGAAATACCACTGAAGAATTGCCAAACCACATTTTGTCCCTCATTAATTTACTTTACTGTCATTGAGGACATAGTTATCTTTTATTTATCAGATAATAGTGATTGATTGGTGCCTAGACCCCAGGCCCACTTTAGTGCATGATGAACCACTGCAATCCTCATGTGAAGACTTCCATATTTAAACATTAGAATAATCTACATTCAGCCCTCCCTGCTTTATTTCTCACATTGGTCCTCTGCATCCCTATCCACTCAAGCTAATTTCCCCATCATGTTAATTCTATTTTACACATCAGGTTTTCCTTTTTCTTTTCTTCCTTGTTCCCCCATCCTCCCCCTCTCTCTTGTTTATTTGTTGTTTGGTCCCAGAGATTAAACCCAAGGATACTTTACTACTGAGCTATTGCCCCAACTCTTTTTATTTTTTATTTTGATACACAGTCTCACTAAGTTGCTTAGGGCCTTGCTAAATTGCTGAAGCTGGCCTTGAACCTTCAATTTCCTTGCCTCAGCTTCTCATCAGGTTTTTTATTATTCTATGACAAAGTACCTTAATCTTGCTACCTTAAGGTAACTGTGGCCTTTTTTTTTTTTTTTAGTCCTTTATCACCTTTAAACCTTATATAGACATGGAAGCATCACAGATCTAGGCAGCTTACATGAACACTCTAAACCATTGTTGTTCTAATACCTTATTATTCTTATCAAATGACATTCTCCTTGTTGATTCTTTATATTAATTGATTATTTTTCATACTGAGGTTAAATAGAAAAACATTACAATCATGTACACAGACAGTCCTTAACAAGCTGGGGTATAGTTCAGTTGGTAGAATGCTTGCCTTGCACGAAAGCGAGAGAGAGAGAAAGGGAGGGGAATTCTTAAAAACCACATCACCAACCTCATCTTAATTCCTAGTGAAAAAATAAATGCAATGAAGTGTTTTTGAACACCTCAAAGAACCAGAGCATTCATTGACAGCTACCTATATGCTTGTTATATGCAACTGTTTTCTTAAAATTTTTTTTGTCATTTTCTATGACAAGTTTTGGGAACATTTCTTCTGACAATCTTTATACATCTTGAAAACACTGGATGTTGCACCTTGAAGAGCTGGCAATGGGCCATCACCCCGCAGCCATAATGTCTTCCCTCTTTAGCAGCTGCATGGAAAAACAAGTATAGGTAAAAATTTTAGGTGACCTTTTCACATCTTTAATAATTCCTTAAATATTAGTTAGTTTGATCATTAATTTATCTGGAATATCTTGCCTGTAGCTAAAATTGATACTTTTTCACTGTCTCTACTATTATCAGAACTCAGAACTATTTTAATGAATAAATAAGACTTTAGCTACAAGACAGTTATAATATAAAGTGATAAAGTAAAGATACAGAGCAAGACTGAGGTATAGACTCAAGGCTATAGGCCTTGCCTCTCAATCTCCACCTGCCCAGTTTCACTTAGCAGTTATCAGTACATGTATGTGATTACTTGTCTTGGATCTTCCAAACTGAATGCTAAATCTAACAGTCCTAATGGTCTAATTTTTAGAATTTTGTCATTTTAAAAAATATTCTTGATTATTTTTATGTTATACTAGGGAAATAATGTTTAAAATTAAATTTGAAACTGGGCAGTGTGGTGCATGTCTTTAATCCCAGCTACTCAGGAAGCTGAGGCAGAAGAATCAATAAGTTCAAGGCCAGCCTGGGCAACTTAGTAAGAACTGTCTTAAAAAAATAAAGGTGACGGGGGCACGACTTGGGGTTGTAGCTCAGTGGTAGAGTACACCTCAGTTCAATTGCCAATACTGAAAAAAAAAATGTTGTTTTTTTTTGACTCCAGTAATCAATATTATACAAAAATACAGTTCTAACTTTAAAGTAGACAATAATATTTAAATTCTATGAAACAAATACAAGCCAGGCACAGTGGCACAGGCCTATAGTCCTAGCAACTCAGGAGGCTGAGGCAGGAGGATCATCAGTTTGAGGTCAGCCTCAGCAACTTAGCAAGGCCCTATGTAATTTAGCAAGACCCTGTCTCAAAATAAAAAATAAAAATGACTGGAGATATAGCTCAGTGGTAAAGCATCCCTGGGTTCAATCCCCAGTACCCAATAGTAATAATTATTTAAATATTTATTTATTTAAATAAATATATTACGAATTGAAATCAACATATATAGTTGAACTTCATGTTGAAGAGAAAAGCAAAACAGATTATATCTATAGACAGGTAATCACTAGACTATATTCACAAGAATTTCTTGTAGAATCAATCTTGGCATTTTAATTGGGAATTGTGACTTCATATAATTTAATGTTACATTTAATTTGCTTGCATTAGCGCATATATATATGTATATGTATATATATGTGTGCGTGTATATATATATATATATATATATATATATATATATATATATATATATTATACACGCACACACACACACACATCAATGTCTTCTGCTTTGGCCATACCTATTTGAAAAGATTGTGCAGTACATTTCGACTTTTCAAATTCTCATAATTCTTTTCAATTCTCATAATTCTCTTAGTATGGGAAATGGAAACAGAAAATTCTGAAGATGAAGGACTAAGCACACATATTTACTTTCCTCCCTCTTGAAATCCTATTGAAATGTTAGTAAAGATATAATAGAAAAGCAGCACTGAAAGAAACATGCATTGGAATATTTCTGAAAGATAGAAGGTAGAGAGGCTTTGAGAAATGAAGACACCAGAGGCATGAAAACTACATTCTACAGTATTGCAAAAGGAAGCGGCTATAGTAGTAAGAGCCATTCTCTGAAACAATGCCAGTTTCACAGACAAAACAGTAAAGAATAAAGTAGGCTGTGAGGTAGCCATCAGAGAGAGAAGGTACCACAGTGATGTTTTTGAGCAGCTGAACAAGTCTGGCTCCTTCCTCTCATTATGCTATAGCAGTTGCTTCCTTGAAAATCTAAATGAAACTGAAAATCTGCACGGGAAGGGCACATTATTGGGTCTTGACCAGAGTCAGAGAAACAGAATGAAGCCTAAGTTACTTCCAGACTAATACAAAAACGTAAGAGAGAATAAAGAGGCAGATCTACCCCAAAATGGAAAAAAAAAAACTAAAATCATTCCATTGTAGTTATTTTGTACTTTTGGTCACTTATGCAAATGATCAGCATATAGCTCTGTTCACAAATTCTTTTTTTGTTGAGGCAGAGGAGGGTACCAGGAATTGGACTCGAGGCACTCAACCAGTGGACCACATCCCCAACCTATTTTGTATTTTATTTAGAGACAAGGTTTCACTGAGTTGCTTAATACCTTGCTTTTGCTGAGGCTGGCTTTGAACCTGGGATCCTTCTGCCTCAACATCCTGAGCCTCTGGGATTATAGGCATGCATCACCACACCAGGCTTCTGTTCACAAATTCTAAAGAGAGGCTTGCACATAGATACGCACCACCATCCATTCATTCAGTGAAGTAAACTGACTATTGACAAGAGAAGATTCTCAAACTTGTTAGTGTGTTCAGGGGGATCACAGGAAGGTGGAGAGTGCTAAATAACCCAATGAGGTTCAGTTGCTTATACATTCTTGATAGGGAAGAGGGATATGGGGAAAATCTGAGCAATTTTAAGGGACAATAAATGATTTTTAGGGGAAATTAGTGACACCAAAAAATAGACAATAGCTTATAAGTGATTCTCTTTGGAAATTGAGTGGGACCAAAGAAAGACAATAGCCTGTGGCAAAGTCTGTCTGGAATGCTAGAGGAACTCAAGGAAAATTTTGCTTTCTTCACATATAAGTAGGCCCAGGGGATGAGGCTATAGAAGTCTGAGACTGGCCTGGTGTGGCGGTGGACCCCTGCGAATAGGGAGTTTGAGGCAAAAGGATCACAAGTTCAAGGCTAGCCTTAGCAACTTAGCAAGATCCTATCCTATCTCAAAATTTTAAGAAAGGACTGGGGCTGTAGCCCAGTGGTAAAGTGCCCCTAGGTTCAATCTGCAGTACCCGCCCCCTAAAATTTTTAAAATTAAAAACAAAAGTCTGAAACTACAATTTCCAGGTCAGTGTATTCACAAGAATGGAAGGAAGGTGTTGAGTTCTAGCTTCATCCAGCTTTGTTTACAGTGTTCTCCGGGTGTTTTGATTTCCTCTGTAGCTTTGGTTATAGTGAGAAGCTATAGAATGTTTAAGTACCCTCTAAGGCTGGTTTGTTGTTCAGTTTTCATACCACAGAGAAGTGTGAAAATTAGGTCACACCTCATGAAATATAAATAACAAAGCACTCTCCCTAGTTTAATAGCACCCTAGTTCTCTTCCTTGTCTATATTTCATGTGCCTATAATGGGAAACTATTATTTTTGGTTTAGTGTTACAACTTTTAGTATCACGATTTGTTTGAGGTAGATTTCTTTCTTTGTTTTTTTTTTTTCTTTTTATCTTGGGGAAACTGACATGTTTTATTGCTTATTTTTGTTCCTCAGAATGGACTGGGTAGATGAATATTCGCATAATTCTTTTGACCTACAATGCTTATTAAACTCATTTCCTGGAGACTTGGAGTTTAAGCAGATCTTCAGTGACATTGATGAACAGATAGAACAAAATGCTACAAGGTAAATATTGCTAATTATTTTTAAAAAATTATTTCATATTCTGTTTACATAGAATTTACCTAGTCTAGTTCTAATGTTTCTACTCTTAAACAATTTGGGGTTTGAATTATTATTAATTTCATGAAAAATATTGATTATAATCCCCATCTTAAAAATTAACACAATTATCTGTGGGAGACCATCCTTGCATGTGACTGGGTCACACTCCCTGACTGGGTGCTGAAGCTCTCAGTCACAGAAATGTGACAGAGCTTTCCCCACCCTTCTTGGGTTCCAGGGTCTGTGTCTCATGCATGGGTGTGTCTTCTACAGCCCCATGGGCGAAGCTATGCTCACCTGTTCCTTTGTAATACAACCCCTTGCCCTGTTGAGGATAAAATCTTCCATGGAAGTGCCTTGTGTGTGTCCCCTTCTCTTACTGTGCCCTTGGGTGTGGCCTACCCAGGTGTCAGTCAACCTGCTGACAGTGGACATCATGAAGATAGACTCAGCCCCCTGAAACCTGACCCCTTGCCTCATTTGAATAGCTTCTCCTCAATAAAAGGGGTCAGCAGTGCTCTCACTCTCTCTCTTTCTGTGGACCCTTAAGGTCAGAGGAGCCATCACAGTGACCCCAAAGAAAAGGGTATTTGTGTCTCTTGTGTGGTTATTTTGCGCAGCCCAGTTAGCCCAGTTTACCTGGAGTTACCTTTTAGTCATGAGAACAGAAACCCGGCAATTGTCTTTATCTGATGAGTAATTTCAATAAGACTAGAAAATATAAGCACTGTTTTCAAATAGGCCAATTAGAGTTTATTAAACCACTATTAAAGGATTCTTAGAGTTTGAAATATTAATGTCCTGGATTGTCATTAATATGTTTAGAGTTAAGCATTTTTACTTGAAGGTAATCACAGTAATTAAAATTTTTAAATTAAGGTATTTAAATGGTACTAAAAGGTCACAATCAATATTACTGAAAACAGAACATTAAAAATAAGTTATTTGCATAATATTTGTCATTTTAAGTCTTCTTCTCACCTAAATGCTCACCTAAATGAGAGGGACTTCTCCCCCAATACTGGGGGGAGCACAGATAACAAAGGAGTTTTCTATAAATAGATCTTACTGTTTAATCAGGCAGTTCACTCATTTGAATCCTTCTAGTTAAAAGCTCTAATTCACATGTGGGTTGCTATAAATGCACAAATCACAGTAAAAATTTTTAGCATGCAACAAAATATTTTCTTTTTTGAATATTTAAGGTATCTTTCAATTGGTTCAAAGAAAATGAATGAAGCAATTGAAAATTTTCTAATGTATTTTTTCTCCTGTTTACATGAGAACACAGTTAATTCTTCATCACCATAATAATAGGTACAAATAAATTCAAAAGATAGCATATTGTTGGGGAGTTATAATTAGAAACAAAATTTTTCTCTTCTCAGAAATTCTGCCCATGAAATCAGCAGAGAAAGAAAACACTTTTATTGTTGATTAAGCATTAAACAAAAATATGATGTACATCACAGGCAATCTACTAAGAGATTGCAAAGACAGGAAGGACTCTTACCACCTTAGGTAGCCAGGTAGACACAGTCTGTACTCATATGTTGCTGAGGTAAACATCACTAATCCTTAAGAAGACTTCACAACACATTTTTTCACACATAGTTCATACTAAATTTACTGTGAGAGTTGGGGAAATTACTACCTGTGTTAGCTGATACACTTCATCTGGAGGAGAAACATCTTTCTAATATCTTCATGCGAGGTGATAATTTTGCAAATTGAAGCCAGGTACACACTGAAGTTAGACTCTTAACTCTCCCACAGAAAGGAGGAAAGAGGGGAATGATCTATCTGGTTACTCATTTCAAAAACATAGCTCCCAGATTCTTGAGAAGGACATTTTGGGTCCCAAAGCTGACAAAAGGCACATCTAGTCTTCCAAGGAATACATGTCCAAAAAGTAAAAAAGTACTATGATTAAATTTTCTAAGGCACAAGATTTAAGAAAAAGGAGAGGAGGAAATATTTTTCCTGAATTTCATCAGAAAGAATTAAACTTATTTTTAACTTTATAATATAAACATATGTAATGAATATATTTTAAATGTAGCATATGTATATGACTTAACCATACTGTTGAGAGTGTATACTTGAAATTACATATATTATAAAATAACTATATAAAACCTAAGTGTAATTATGCACTCATGTAATTTTTATTCTATATATTTATATATCGTATGATGGAGTTTCTAACCTAAGAGAACTTAGAAATGAAAATAGTGTTCATTTAAATAGATTTAAAATAATTTATCTAAATTTCAGAGATGGTTATATTTTTAAAATGGAAAATTATTTTAAAGATACATTTCTCCCTTCAAAATGACATTTAGTCTCTATCAAAACAAAGTAAGCTACCAAACTGATGTTTTTACTATATATTGCTTTGTTTTTATTTGGTAAGCCATCTGTACTTAATTTTCTGCCCTACTTGGTTAATAAAAAAATCACACTTAAAAGTAAAACAGTTATTAAATTATTATATTTTGCATTCATAAATTATTTTATAGGTTGAAATTCAGATGTTAGTAAAAAAGAAATTGTAATATGGAATATAGGGATATAATTTTAAATTAAAAACACTTTATTGCTCATATATTAAAACAAACCTAGAGCAGAACCACCTCAAGTGACCATTGAGCTTCACAAAGGATAAAATGAGAGAGTAGCTGTATGTACTATATGCTACATTTAGAATCAAGTCTATTTTTCATCAAATTCAATTATGTTTTTATTATACTCTAGAGAATAAACATAATAGTATAGGGTGTATATATTTTCAAAAATAAAATACTGAATAATAACTATGGTTCTAAAGAGTGTAAATCATTTATGCACTCATTTATTGCCTTCTAACAGAATAGATTTTAGAAAATTGTGTGTCATGACGAATCAGTTATGCCACACTTACACTGCAGCAGTTGAATTACCCTTGGCATTTTTGTATTTTAACAGTTCTGTTTATCTCCCAGTGGTGTACATTGAATAAGTAATGAACATCTGTATGATATGGGTTTTCCCCAATACTTTAAAAGAAAAAAAAATATTTGCAATACATTTTTAAATACAGTATTTTTTCTTACACTTGGATTTTTAAAGCTGTTATTTCTTAAAATGACCCTGACATCTTAAGTGTGAATTCCTTCCCTCTTCTTAATATCATCAAATTTTATGAGCCGTGGGGGTTCTAACCTCCCCAAAGCAGTGATTCACCAGAATGGACTGGTGTGCCCAGAGGTCACTGAACCTTCACCTCCCCTCAGGATAGGCAGTCATTCTCTCAAGCTATTTTCACTTTTATACATTGGTTTCCACTCAGTTCAGAGCTAGGTGACTCCTACTTCTGATGGTCAAAATCAGGGACAATGAATCATTTACTTTGAACACATATCAAAATTGATAACAAGAAGGTTAATAACCTGCCATGGAAGAATGCTATAAATGTTGTACCCACAGAGTCAGAAAACTGCACATACACTGAAACATTTTTTGAGCTGACTAGAACTTATTAATTTAATAAGATATTGAGATATAGACATTCTCTTGAACTGAGAATAAGACAGAATGATTTTTATCCTCTTAATGTTCAGTTGGATGTATATTATTGTATCTTTTTAGTTTACCTGCACCCTCTTCATTTTTATTTACTGATTGATATATTTTGTGGTTCTGGGGTTTGAACCTAGGGCCTGGTACATAACTACACAAGCAATCTACTACTGAGCTACATCCCCAGCCCTGAATGTAGCATTTTATTTTATTTTTGTTGTTATTGTTGTCTTGTTTTTTTTTATATTATTGTATCTTAAAAGTCTGTTTTACTCTCCTGTTTTCTAATTATAGACAACTTCAATCAGGTTTTGCTGATACTGATGTAAGATATCTACATTTTTTGTGATCTAAAGAAAAATTAGGAAGTGCTACCAGGGACAATCCATTGGTTTTAATTCAGCAGTGACGGGAGGAAGGATATCATGAAACAGTATTAGATAAAGATTTCTATAAATTTATTTGTGTTTATTAATGAGAGGATACATGCCTACTGATTACACTTATTTTTCATATAATGCTTAAATTTTTTGAGCTTATATGTGAAAACTTTAGACTTTTTCACATGGTAGATGCATTTAAATTTCCTATGTTTATACCTTGTTTTGGGGTTTCTATATTCTGTACTCCATCTAAGGGAAGCCTATCTCTCCTCCCATCCTACTGCACAAGACTAGGCTATATGGAAAGAAAACATTTTCCTCATTTATCATTGAACCCAGAGTAAAACCTAAAACACCACTTTCCAATGTCCTCTGACTGAGTCTTCATAGCATTCTTGTCCTCCTCACACAGATAGCATCCTGGGCCTCAGCTGCTAGGTACCCTAAACTTTCCCTGGCCCCATTCATAAATAAAAGTATAGCTTTTATTTGTAAGTACAATAGCTTCATTTAATGTAGGCCATAAGGCATAAACACAATAGAGAATTGTTGTTTGAGGATGTTCCTAAAGAATAGCATTGTAATTACCTTTTCATGGGAAATAAAGAAAAGCACATGTCTACCTGCTTTTAAGCTATTAGGATAGCAAAAGTACAAATATTGTTATACTGAAAATCCAGACTCAGTATGCAGATTGAATCAATAATAGTTGGGCCACTGTTTCCCAAAGAAATAATGGGCCAGTTGGAAATAAAGCCCAACTCCTGAGGTAACAACTTATGGGCCTGTTAAGATCTGACCCACCCCTGAGGATAAGAACAGAGAAGGAAACACACCAGAGGACTGAGCTCCAGTAACAGACATGACCACTGTTAGCTGGCCCATCTTTCCTGTTGGATAAATGATTAAAATTAAACTCAGTCCTATCTACTGTTCTTGGAAAAGAACTTTGTCCAGGACTCAACAAATTCAGTACCTTGTCTGAAAAGTGTCTTTAACACCAAGGCCATTGCTCAT